AATTCCCAGGTTTCCAATTGAACAAAATACCTAGCTCTGGTAAAATCTGGGATATGAGACAAAATATTCAGATTATTTTGTCCAGTTTGTCTTTTTAAAAAAGTCAAATCTATTGTATTGTATTGTAACCAGTGCAATTGTGACCATGACTGATTATTTGCAAGAGGTGTGAACCACAGAGGTTGAGAGTAATCACTTATATGCAGAGTAGATTTTCTGTTTATTTATACCCAATGTTTGAAATATTCTGTGTGTCTATGTGAAGCTTTGAAGGCTTCATTTTAAGTTTGAAATTTTAATGTTAATTTCAAGAGTCTTTGAGCTCCAGTTTAAAACAATTTTCTACAAGTTTTTCATAAGGTCTGGTTCCTATGCTACTTTATTTTTTTAAGTGTTTAAAAAAAGGAAACCCACTTTTGAATTTCTGTAATGGAAAGGCAGAATATACATTTAATAAATAAATAGTGTATGGCATAAATTGCCCTTGCTCAATTTAATTGGATATAAGAAGAAAACTATGCTAATTCAAAATGGTATGTTTATAAGCCAGTGGATCCTCAAGAATGAGGTCAATCTTCATTCTTAAACTGGAAACTAGAGAAGATTGAGTGAGGCTCTCAAACCTATATTTACCAGTGGATCACAGTTCAGCTGGAAATGTAATTCATGGAAGTCTGACTGAACTGAACAGCTGCCTGTTCTGTTTTGCCCTGTCACCATTCCTACTGCAAGAGGGAAGTATAGACTGTCCCAATCTTAAAATAGATATGGGTGCTCTGGAAATGGTGATTTCCCAATAACAATCTAGTTGACTTAAAACTACAGTTATATCTCATCAGTTACTGGTATTCTAAATTATGCAGCGAATCCATATAATCTCTAGAATGTGATTGTGCTTAGTTGCATATCTTTTTCTGTACTCAGGCTAACTTGCGCCAAAAGCTAACTCACTCAGTGCAGACTAACCTCAGTCATATGAGACGAGACAACTGTAGCCAAGTATACTTGATGAAGGATTCTGGCACGCAAACTAAACGAGAGAACAGTAGTAATGTACCTAAGCCACAGATTTTCCTAGCTGGTCTTCGTGGAGGAACACCCCCAACTACTCGCATGACCAAAGTGAATTTAACTAGAGCAGTTGATGAAACATAACTTCGTTGTTCAAGTGAACAATATTTCAATAAATTAGAATGTTTAAAAATGTAAATGAGTGCTCCCATTTATTGGTTGAAAGATAACATACATATCATGAATAGGAACAGAACAAAAGCTTCAAGTGTCAGTGATAAGCTGCAGCATAAATTCTTCATGGCCAGACCTATCCCGCTATGATATCGTGTATTAAATGATAAATTAATTTGATCAAATATAAATTAAGATACACTGGATTGCATCTACCATGCTTGAGTTTCTTATTTTTATTCCTTGAGTTTTCAAGCTGCTTATTCTCTTTGCTAATTTTTCTTTTCCTCCACCTCTCTTTTATGTGATTGATCAGTTTGATTTTTTTAAATCCACCTGTTCTGCGCACACCTTTTTCATTTCCTCAACCCTCTTCATAGCATTACATAGCTATAACTATCTCAGTGGAGTTAACTGGTAATACTGCTGTTCCTTAGAGCAGGCCTACATGAGTGCCACAAGGAAAGGGCCACATTGATAGACGATCATGGGGCACAAAGAAATAATTGGCATATCAATCAGCTATTTGGTGACTAGTGGAGCAGCAGCAGTGCTGGAGCTGGTGGCGTTGATGCGGCCTGGAGGTTTTGGAGGTGCTTGGCAGTGTGTCTTTCAGGACGGCAATGGATCCTTCCTTGCGGTGGTGATGTTTAGTGATGGTGAATTTACTGAGTTTTTTTTAAAATGCTGGTGGGCTGCATGTTGTGCAGGCCTGCTTTAGAGCCTTAAAATTTCACAGTGACTTAATATGTGCATACCATGGTTGATCATGTTAGATCTCAACCTCAACAACCAATACTCCTATATGCAGACATTGTGTGGCAGCAAATGCATATTTAATTAACGTAATAGTAATGGAAGAAAGGTCACCAGTACATGCATTGGTTAGGGGACATCATTTTTTATAGAACAGGCTGAGAAATAGAAAAAACAAAAAAATCCCAGAACAAGGCAATGACAAGCTACTTCCACACTGTTGCCAAGAAAACTGTATGAATGTGTTCACATAAGTACTAGGAGCTGAACCTGACTTGAAGACTTATCATAAGGATACAGTCCAAAAGTGACTTGGGTGGGCAGGCAAGGGTTAAAAACCACAACAGTTTAACAAAAACCAATGCCTGAGGCCATAAACAATCCAATATTACATTAGTTATATATAAGGTATAACATTAATAAACTTTAACCAGCAGAGCCCACCTAACCACATGGCCCAAATGCCTGGAGAAATAGCCAGGGCTTTAATGCCTTATGAAAGGCTAACAGGGAAGCGGGGAATGCTGCCCCAGAGAAGGCACAACTCCACGGTCCAACAAGATGACATAGTTTAATGGAAGAAACTTGGAGCATGCCCCCCTACCAGATCTGGTGTGGTGAGCAGAGGCTCACAAGAAGAGCATGGCTTAATCCCTTTGTTAATTTATTTGAACTCCCCATGGAGATATATAACTCTGAGGCTAGCTTCTGCAGAAAGCAATATCCAAAATGATAGTTACTTTCATCTCTTCAAACAAAAACAATCTGTATTTGCAATGGCATAAGACTAACACACAGTATAATATATATGTAGACTATCATCCACTTCATCAGATACATCATCAATTGAACTTCTAAACACAATAGCCCTCCAGCTTCTTTTTTTTACTGCCTTGGGAAGGGTACAATCCGGATTCATCAGAGCAGCTCTCCAAATACCTCACTGTGTCTCAAATGCACATCGGCGACTGGAGACAGGTATGATAAAAGTTGAAGCAAGAGTGTGTCTTGCTTCCATAAACCTTGGGTTAAAGCTTAACGTTTATCCTCAAAGCCTATCACCATTACTTCTCCAGGACAACTTTCAGTCTACTTGGATTAAGGCTGTTGAATCTAAACTTCTAAATCTGGACTTTTCTCCCTCCTTGGTACTTAAGATGGAATATGATCAGGCAAAACAAACCCTGAAGCAAAGGATAAAGGTTAAGGGGCGTCAGGCAGATCTAGGGAAGGCCCCAGCCTTCCTATCATCAGCACACAATGCATACAATGTCACTGCTGCAGGCTACCTCATACACCTGGAAACACCCAGCCATCAGAAAGCATTCTCTCTTGCCCAGTGTCATGCTCTCCCCTCTGCAGTATTGGATAGCAAATATAAAAGTACCATTGGCTGAAGGGCTCTGCCTCTGTGATTCTGGAGAGGTGGAAACTACAGAATAGGCTCTTCTTCACTGCTCCTTTTACAGAGAAACTCAAGCCAGATTTATTCTCCCTCTGGTTAGCAGATACTGTGTCCTGATCGCTCAGACTTGGCCTATGCCCAGATGCTGCTCATAAATGAACTGCCTTTTATTACAACACACGTGGCTAGGTTTTGTGCAGCAGCATGGAAGATCTGCCAGACCTTGATGGGCCAAGTTCCCACTAGACAGATGTATTTTATGTAATCTTTGGTATTATTTTGTTTTATAACTTTACATATTATCACATTTTACTTAAATTTTAAATACTATCACATTTTTGTAATTTTAGATGTTACCACATTTTATATAATTTTAGATACTATTTTATAACTTAGACATAGATTGCTCCTTTTGGACTTCACTCACAGATTCTAGTCAGGTTGTTTTATAAACGTATTTCAATTTTGTTTTAAATTTTACTTACTATTTTTTAAGATAGAGCACAGAGCACTCATGCACACTGCTTGTATTGGTCTAAGACTGTAATAAACTGACTGACTAAACACAATATGTCTGCATGGAAGAGACTGAAGAAGCTCATTATAACTTACTGCAGATAATGTGAAGATAAATATGCATACTGATGTCACTGCACAAACAATGTAAAATATATCATAAGATAAATATTCTTGGTGTCATCCCTCTAGCGCAGGACAGGAATGAAGACTACTGTATTCCAAAATATCTGGAATGAAGCTCCACTGAACTCAATATTACTTCTGAGGATATCAGTACAGTACTTATTTTGCATCTGGCCCATTTCTCTAGCTCTGAATCCTAAGCAAGCTTTGGCTTGGCTGAAAGGTTTGGTTTGGCTAGAATCACATTTCTTAAACTTTTTGCTTTCAGGACCCCTTCCCACTTTTAAAAATTATGGAGGACCCCAAAGAGCTTTTATTTGTATATTTATCAATATTTACCATATTGGAAATTATAATTGACACATTCACAGAAAATTTATTTACTGAATCATGTAAAAATAGCAATATTAATCCCATTAGATAGTAACGTAAATAAAATATTTTTCATGAAAAAAACCTACATTTTTTAACAAATAAAAATAACGAGAAGAGTGATCTTGTTTTAAATTTTTGCAAGTAGCCTCAATATCTGGCAAATAATTTTGATTTCGCGAACCCTTGAGAGGGTCTTGGAGGACCCCCAGGGGTCCTCAGGCCACACTTGAAGAAACACCGCTCTAGAAGCTGCTTCCTTTATCTTTTTCTGTTTTCGTTGGAGAAATCCTTGCTGTAAAAGAAGCTATTGGACAGCGGCACGTCCATCCAAAAACAAAAGACACGAGAACAGACCTCCTGCTTGCTCTAGCTCAGTGTTTCTCAAACTTGTCAACTTTAAGACATGTGGACTTCAACCCCCAGAATTCCCCAGCCAGAATTCTGAAAGTTGAAGTCCACATGCCTTACAGTTGACACGTTTGACTAGCTAAAGTCCTACCTTGTATTAAAAATAAGAATTTGCTGACTTTCTGTCCCTTTAAGGAATAGGTCGGCCAATATCAATGCAACCCACTTCCTGGAACTGACAATACGCTCCCTCGGGGAGCTCTACGGAAAGCTCCGGTCTAATTCTCTTTCCGGCAGCAGGATCGAAGCGATGCGGCCCGAAATAGGCAGTCTACCCAGCCTCTACAGCACTCTATGGTAAATTGGACTGATTAGCTGGGCGGGCTTTTTTGCTCGCCAATTGATTCCTTCTGTTGGCTACTATGGCGCCTCCGAAAGGTAAGCGAAGTGCACCTTGAATAGTAACTCCTGCGCCCACTGTACTGCTAATCGCGAAACTACCTGCTCCGGTCACCTCCGCTTTACCGCTTGTGCGGAAAGAGAGCAATCCGTTTTATTGCGGTTAATGGCTGGGCAGCCCCACGTGCCCGGAGCGCGCGCGGGGGGGGGGGGATTCTACATGGAAAAGGCGGAGTTCTAAAGTGGTTTCTCCCCCCGGGATGGAACCCAGCCTGATTATGCCGTGGAGAAGAAGGTGGCTGGTTCAAATAAGGCGCAGGCGAACACCCGTTTGTTGACTCACAGTCTGCTCTCTGTGAATAGCTGTTCCAATGCACTAGAAGAGGTTTTCCCAACCAAAGCTTTTCAGATGTGTTGGACTTCTTAATTATGCTGGCTGGAGAATGATAGGTTTGGAAGTCCAACGCATCCGGCCCCATGTTGGGAAAAGTGGCCGGAGTGGTTTGGTTGGAGTGTCTGTCCGTATGTGCCTTCGGGCAGGGAAGCCTCTCCACATCCCCTCCGTATTGCTAAACGTCTTCAGAGCTGCTGAGAGGATGGCCTGTATTGACTCTATGGAAATAATTGCTTAATTCGTGCAAGTGATGTCCACGTTACTTCTCCCATTCCTGTTTTCAGTCAAGAAGATGTGCACTTATGTATCTGTGGCATTTTGCAATGGTAGTTCTGGTCCTGTTGTCAGCCTTGGTTATACTTATACAAGTGTTTTATTCTTTGCGTATGAACTGATCAGGCTGAAATAATGGAATAACGTAACAGCTTAGTTTGGAAGTGCATGTGCTAACCATGGGATGAAATTAAATGCTGAACTAGATTTGATACTAGAAATCATAGAAAATGAAGACATTTTCACAATGATCTGGACATGTATACGTGAGAATGAAGTGCTCAAATTGATTATTGAACTCAGTTCATCATTTTCAGAGAACTAGGATGTCTCTTGCTTTCGCAGATGTGTGCCATGTAGACCCTTAATTTAGATGTAGCTGTTCTCTTTGTATTGCTAACAGTTCTCTCTAGAACTTGTTCACATGTTACAGATTCACCCAGTTTGTGGCATGTTCATATGTAAATATATTTAATAAGTGCAAAGAAAAGTTTTAGTTCACTAGTATTTTGGCAAGGTTGTTAACAGCGTGGCCAAATGGTTTTTTAAAAAAACTGAATTGGCTTCATGAGGTATTGCACTATAAATGCTATTTTAAAGTCAAAGTATTACAGCATTATATGGTTATACTATTGTATCTCTGAAATTTATGTTTTAAATCCTTAAACAGTTCTTTCTGTTAGCTTTATTTAACCACCTTGGCATGTAGACACCATGTCTAACACTTTTGCATTCTATCCTGGAAACAGAATATACAATCCACCCCCAGTAGTATGAAAAATAAGTTCCCTTGTTATTATTCGATGGAAGAACAATGTTTAATAGTACTGTTCATCATCTGGCAGCACTGAATTATACTTGTGCCTGCTGCAGAATTTACTCTCACTCTCACGTGCCAGATGTTGAATGAAGAGACCTTACCTTTAAAAGATGAGTATAAATTATATGATTGCAACAGTGCAATCTATAATACCTTGGAGGAATATTTACACAAGGTGAAGCTTCCTTGAAAGATTAAAAGTTAATACGTTTGGGAATGCAAAGCTATATTAGAGTAATGGTATAATGACCCATATATACAGTGTTGTGTAAATACAGAAAAACTAACTTTGTGTAAGTAAAGCAAACAGTCTAAGACAAACATCACTAGTCTTCCTTGGTGATGAGAAATGGTACCATTTCTGCACCATTACCTGTTAGTACTGGGAACTGGATGATCCTGCCAGGTTTTTTAATTCTTAATTTCTTACACACTCATTAAAACAAAATCAGGGCACAGAAATACAATTCAAGCAAATTATGTTGGTCTGAAAAATCAGGTAGACCCACATATAGCTTTATGAGGTGCTATACAGAAAATACCCTGATGTTAATAAGACACTAGAGACATGAGGAGAGCCAGTTACACACAGCAACTGCATGACCTTGGGCCAGTCACTCTCTCTTAGCCCTAGGAAGGAGGCAAGGGCAAACCCCTTCCGAAAAACTTGCCAAGAAAACTGCAGGACCTAGTCCAGGCAGTCACTCAGAGTCAACAATGACTAGAAGGCACCAAAAAAAAAAAAAAAAGACATGAAGATCTGGGGATTTTTGCCCCAGGACAAAAGCTCATTTTGAGCCTCTCCCCCTCCCCCCGCCCGGTTCTAAGTGGGTTGGCATAGTAGAGAAGTAACAGTGACATGCAAAA